CCTTGAAGTTTGTATTCAATTTGTCCAGCATAGAAAATCAACATAAGCAAATTTTAAAGTCTCCCCAAAAGGGGAGATTTGACTGCGATATTTGACTGTAAACTACTGCTCTGAAAATTTAAATTTTAAAGGACAGAATGAGGACTCAAACAACAACAAAAACAACATATAAATAACACAGAGTTTTATCAAAATGACCTAAAGTAAGCAAACAAACAAAAAATGCAAAAACAAAATCAAAATACTCTCCCACTATGTTTGGGACAAATTAGAGACCAGACAAGATAGGCCCGCTGTCTGGGAGGAAGACAAGAAAACTCAGAAAGCCTGAAATGAATCACTATCTTTCCTATTTTCTAAAATGGACAGGAAATGGATTCTGCAAACTATGGATGATTGAGTTTGATATGGAGCTCAGACAAGATTCCAAAAGGTATTACCAAAGCAATGTTATAATAGGCACCCAAATGACAAAGAGGTGATTATAGGACCCAGCATGGGTTCGTGAGAACAAGTCCTGTTAGTCCAGCCCATTTCCAATCCTCAGTAGGGGTCTGGCAGATAAAGACAATGTGCTCACATTTCCATTCAGGACTCTGGACTTCAGCAACATGATTGGCAATGTATTTAATGGTACACTTGCGGTGAAGATGGAGAACCTCTGAACATTTTAGTGGGTTTCTGGGCAGACATCATACCCAAAGAATACCCATTAAGAGACTGATGTCAAATCTAGGGAGGGGTTCCCAGGTCCTAGTGATCTGCCGGGGATATAGTTCATAGCCCTGTATGTGCCCCAGTATTTTTATCAGAGACTTAGGTGGATGCAAAAAGGGCTACTCCTCATTTCTACAGCAGACATAGGTGGGAAGATAGTTGATATTATATGGAAAAATCAGAGCCTAAAAAGATTTTTCATGGGCTGGCATGATGCATTCATTTCTGGGCCCACTATTAAAAGTGTGATATCCAACCTGGAATACATCTTCAGGGAGAAACACCAGCAAGCCATATGAAAAGCAAATTTTTTTAATTGGCTTGTTCATTAAGAGAAGACAAAGAGAGAAAAGATGTCTGTCTTCCATAACTGGAAGTCTGGTCATGCAAAAGGAATTAAACTTATCTTATGTGTCCTAAACCGATTCAACAAAGACCTGCAAGCTTTGGGGAGATGAAAGCCTACCTATGTGAAACCAAATATTAGCAATGTGTTCTTGAAAAATACAACCTCTTGTTCTTCATCACTGAACTCCCCCCAGCTGTATACACTGTGGCAGAGGCTGGCTGCTCACTACAAGGATGGTGTGCTGGGAAATCAGGCTCCAAATAAAACTGGATGACCTTGAGGGACATTTAGATCCTGGTATGTTATGACTCTAAGAATGTGGAGTAGACTTGCATCACACATTAGCCACATTTCTGCCCATGGGGAGGGCAGGAGATGGACCTATAAATAGGCAGAAAGGCAGCAGGAGCTTTAATACCATCTTGGATGGGAGATCAATTATCCATTGTTGAGTACTCTTCTCCATTCAAGAATCCAAAATGGGACAATCCATTGCCCACCAGGTGACTTTGGAGTGGAAACTCCCTCTTTCCCAAACTAAACACATCCTGAACTCCAATAGGCATCTGAGTGGGCCTTTTACTAAAGGTTTTGAGTTATTCCCTGAGAGCTGGGCCTGAGCGGCGATAAGGAATGGTGACTTGCTTTAGCTGCTCGCTCCCTTACACCATACAATAGGACTCCCACTAAGCTTCTGAGGGAGCCCATGTGGAAACTTCCTCTTTTGCAGCACTGGATGCTCCCCAGTGCCTTTGAACCCTTTCTCCCCAGAGCCCCTGCACCTTTAGATTAATGGACGCCAGGCTCTTCTGAAGATTCTGCTGCCTTGATCTTCAGCTGGTAGGAGTAGAATCTTTCATTGAGATTGCAGGTATCTGTTGGCTCCATGGTGGGAAAAAGCATGGAAAGAAGTAAAAGTGGATGCTCTTTAGGGGGCACATGGCAAGGGACAGACAGCTGGGTTTATCTATAGTTTTACTTCTCTCCACTGACTAGGATCTGGCTATTTCTGGAAAGTCTCTGAAGAAAACATACTTTGCCCTGCAAAATTAAAATTCTTCCCTGAAGACCACAAGTTTGAATCTAGGAGTGCATACTTCTCTTACTGACATACCTCAGACCTACTGCAGGTCTTATGAGCCAGAGTATGGAGACAGCTCTACCCTACACACTCCACCCTACCCCACTCCATACCTATCAGCTTGTGGAAATGTAATAAACTTACTAGCTGTGTTTGGCTGCATCTAAGCCAGGAAAATGGCCCTTGCTGCCTCTGATATCCCTGGTGCATCTTGGGATCCTGGACGGAGTACCTTCCTAGTTTCACTAGGATCCAGCTACATCTTTTCCTTAAATGAGAGTATTCTCCAGGTATCTTGGTAATGAAACAGGGTTTGGTTCTTCTTAAATCTCAATTGTCCACAGGCTCTTCTTCCCAGATGAGGAATTCTCCAGGCTTCTTGTTAGACTAACCCCAGAACACATTACAGCAGAGTGAGGACAGAACTTTATGAAACTGGCCATTAATTCATATGACAATATCTGTCTATTAGAAAACATTGTAAAACTTAGAAAGGGAATGGTATTGAAGCCACTGGCCAAAGAAGGCCTGGGAATTACTAGCAGATTTAATTTATCCAGATTATCCCCTGGACCCCCACTATCACAGGAAATGGATCTTGCTGCACACTTATTAATATTGAACTTAATGCTCCTTTGCAAAAATGTTAATCACACAATCACCTGCTCAAAAGCTTGTATCAAATGGTGAGGCCACTTGAGCTCCATTGGTTGATTCTGAGCCTCAAGAAGGGAGAAGTTATATTTAGGGAATCTTCAAATGGAGATGTTATTTTAAGCCAGGGTAATTATGGCTGGGGATTTAGCTCAGCGGTTCCAACTCCTGCCTCGCAAGAGCAAGGTCCCAAGTTCGATCCCCGGTACCAAAAAAGAATATATTTAAACCAGGGTAATTTTTAAGGCAAGAAAATAAGTTGTAACTTGTGCATGCTAATTGTAGCTTCCATTTACATGGAAAAGAAAAAAGAGTAATAATTACAGACGATGATCATGATGGTGGTAACAAACACTCATTTGACACTTCCTGTGTGCCTGGCACTGTTCTAAGCACTACACACACATATAATAATTTAACCCTCACAACAACCTTGTGAAGTAGGTACTTTATTCCTATTTTATAGACTAGGACATTGAGGCAAAGTGGATAAATAGCTTGTCTGAGTTTACACAGCTGACAAGTAGCAGACGTGGAACTGAAGCCCGGGTGCCCTCCCTGCAGGACTATTCTCTTGACCCCTGCAGGGAACATTCTGAGTTTCCTGGAAGTCCATCCCCAGCCTCTGGAAGGAAAGATGCAGGCTGCACATTAAGGGAGGAATTGACTCTAAGGCAGCTTCCCTTGTTCGTGCCTTCATTCATTCAACTCATTTCTTGGTTGGACATCTCTGCAGGCACTAGAAGATGGGGTCTGCAGAGGTCCAAAGGGGAAAGATTTCTTAGACTATTGCTCTTTTTTTTGGTACCAGGGATCAAACTCAGGACCTTGTGCTTGCAAGGCAGGCATGACGCCACTGAGCTAAATCCTCAGCCATATTGCTCTTTTTATTTTTTTACACTCTCACATCATTTCTTCTTTCAAAGCCCTAGCAAATCTTTCCACCAAAGAACAGAGGACCATCTCATCAGGAAATCAGGCCACAGATGAGGAATGAGGAACATTGGCTGTGTCACCTTCTTAGCATCTGCCCCAGGTCTGAAGTTCATTTCTAGGCCACATCTCTGGGAGTGTGCTGAGACCTGTCTGCAGGGGCTCTCTGGCTGATGGTGCATGTCCCTTCCCAAGTCCAGTTCTGGGAATGGCCATGGGAGGACTGTTGACACCACGAAGTCAGCAAATGCTACTTAAGATGTGCATGTGTGCATGTGATCTTTCAAGTGCCAGCTTACCAGCCTGTCACTGCGCCCACCATGGGCTGCCTCCCTGAGAGATGAAGTGACAAACCTCGTGCCATTCTGCTTTCTCCAGTAACTGCATTTAGGATAATGCAGAGTACACACTTGTCTTCCCTCATGATTCCCTCCAGAGCCATTATCATCTGTCAAGCAGAACTTTCATTATGAACATTTTCCCTCCAAAGAGGCACTAAACCACTGAAGTCAACTGACTCACGACTTCCCTTGTCACAGGCACAAACCCAGCATCTCTTCACATCTGCTGACTCCCTCCCCAAAATTCCCAGCTTGCATTTTCGCTTCTTTCTCCCTCTCAGCTCTGTTGAATCCTTTACTCCTGGCATCAATTAGAGTTACAGTTAGATTTGCCTTTGAATCCTAGTTTTATCACTGTGGAATTCCCTTAAAGCCTCAGTTTTATCATCTGTAAAATGGAGAGTATGGTAGAATCCAATCTCATGGAGTCAATGAGGATTAAACTTTGAAGAGTATATAAAGCATAGAGCAGACATCTGGCCAAAAGAAGAGGTTGCTTTGATTCGCACCTATAAGCAAATGGCTCTCTCATGACACTTTGACACTTGCCTGAATCCTGCTCCCAGGCAGAGACAGCATAACTACACATAGGTACTATCTACTCCTGTCTCCTTGGTGTTGTTCATATAGGTCCCTTATTCTGAAAAGCCTTTCTCTACTTATTGAAGTCCTACAGGTCCTTGAAAATCCTACTCAATTACCACCTTCTATGTAAAATGTTTGCTAAACCTGGGTTCCTTAAGTGGTGGCTCCACTTTTTCCTTCCCATTATTGTCACTTTGTCTGAAAGGTTCGGAGAACTCCACTTCCTCGGGCTGCGAAATAGAAAAGTGTTGTTACAAAGGTAAATGCAACCTGAGAATGTTATGCATTTTTCTACATCGATGCATTTGCAAGTGTCCCTTAGCACCAATTAATTCTGCAGCATCGTAGGATCACAGTGCTGGAAGGTTCTACAGGTCTCAGACTGATGCGCATACTTCCTGATGAAGGTATGAAAACCCAGAGAGTGATATCACAGAGCTGGATGAAGAATCAGGATGCTTTGACTATCTGGCTGATATTCTGTGCATCATGTCAGACTCCTGGAGGAACAGGGCAAAGACTAGCAGAGGTAGGCCGATGCCTTCAAAGGTATTAGAGAACCTTCCACAGAAGGATTGGTGGTGGTGGTGGTGGGTAACCAAGAGGTCAAGTCAGCCAGGGACAGCATAAGGACTTGGGTCTGAGCACAGGCAGAGAATCAGAATCAGGCAAAGCGCTCCAAAAGTGTTTCTGGAAGCAAAGTCCTACAGAGAAACTATCTACTTGCTCCATCCTTTTGTCCAGATTGGCAAAGTCCCAGTCTCTAGCCTTTGCCAAGCCACAAACAGCCACGTGCAGGAAGGTATTGGCTGAGAGCCCATTCTTGCTCTACAATTCAGGATGTGAGCTTTGTACATTTCCTAATGGTCACCCGGCTTCCTGCCCTGGGAAGATGTCCTGAAGTCTAAAATAACCAACACCAACTCTTCACTTCTCGTCACCCTCGATTCCTTTATTCTGCTGTACTTTCTTCAGCTCCAATGTGCTTCTCACTACTTGAAATTATTACTCACTCATTCATTTTCTTATTTATTACACATTCCCACATGAGAGCAGAAGGTTGAGAGCTAGGGTCTTTGTCTTCTTATAGAATGTGCTGGTTGTCCAGTAAGCATTGATTGAGTGAATGAGTAAAAGATATAACAATAATGTTTTGCTATTTTCCATATTTTAATAGATATCTCCTTTTTGCTCCCTACTTTTTGTGGGCATTCATTCTGCTTTTCTTTTTCTTAAGTTTGATGCTAGTACACTAATTGTGATCCTTGCTGCTTTTCTACTGTACGCATAAACTTTCTAAGTATAGGTTTAACTGCATTCCCATGTTTTGATTTATAGTATGTTAAACACCATTCAGTTCCAAGTGTTTTAAGTTTTTCATTTAGATGGGGGTTTTGGTTTTTGACCCATAGTTTATTTGGAAGCAATGTACATATGTAATGTATGTTTGTCTAACCATGACATGAATGGGGGTTTTCCTATATTCTATTTAATATACTATTTCTAATTTTACTTGTGAACTCAGACCACAGTAAGGGTAAGTCTAATCTTTTGAACTCCAGCATTTATGGTTTAGCTTTTGGGTAATCTTCTAGAGCAGAGTGCCATGTTCTATATAGGTCCAGCTGACTGACCTTGCTAATTGTGCTGCTCAAATTTTCTGTTTCCCTTTTTCTGGATGGTTATTTTTTTCTTTTTCTATTGTATTTTTAGCCTCCAGTTGTTTGCAAATTAAGTCCTTTGGTCTACCCTTTAGTGATTACCCTTTCTTTTAAAAATACAGGGGCTGTATCTATATCTCTAATTAATACAGCCTCTCCTATCTTAAATGCTATTGTTTTACAATATTTTCATTTCTTCTGCCTATTTTCCTTCATAAACTAGAGATTGTTTTTATTACTTTAAGCACTTTTTATTTAGACTTATCTTGTTTACCATTCCTCTCTTATCTCAGACCTTTCATTTGGAATAATTTTCCTTCTGCCTAAAGGAATCTTCCAGTAGTTTCTTTGGTAACAGTCTTTCTGTGGTAAACTTTCTGAGCTGTGGTTTGTCTTTAGTGTCTATTTTTTCCTCATTCTTAAAAGGTAGTTCTGCAGGATAAAGAATTATAAAGTAACAAATTCTTTCTGGGCATGTCAAAGCCTTTGTTCCTCTGTCCAGTGATTCTACATCTGTCGATAAAAAGCACACATCACTCAAATCCTTGTTCCTTGATAGGCAATCTGTCCTCACTGCTTACTTTGTACAAATCTTTTTTTCTTGGTACTCTGCAGTTCGCCTATAATAGGTCAAGATGTACTTTTTTTTTCTTTGTCTTACTTAGGGTTGAGGGGCTGCTATAGTTTGGATGTAGTCTGAATGTGTCCCCCAAGGGTTCATGAGTTAGAGGCTTGCTCCCCAGGGTAGTGGTATTGAGAGGTGGTGGAATTTTTAAAGGTAGGGCCTAGTGAGAAGTCCCTAGGTCACTGTAAGGGCATAGCCATGGACGGGACCATGGGACTGTAGTCTCCCTCTAGCTAGCTGTTTCAAGGTGTGGTCTCTTCTTCAACATGCACTCTTGTGTACACCATCTGCCATTAGGTCCTCACCAGAGCCAAGGTGATGCTGATGCTATGCTCTTGAACCTCCAGGACTAGGAGCTAAATAAACCCCTTATTTTGTGGTAGCCTGCCTCAGGTAGTCTGTTATAATAATCAAAAACTGCACAAATATGTGGGCTTTCTAGAATAAATATTAGTTTTGTTACATAATCTTGGAAGAATTTCAGCCATTATTTCTTTGGATATCCCCATTCCAGTTATCTCCTTCTGGAACACAAATTAAACAGCAGTGATAACCAATATAGGAGCCACCAGCCACATGTGGCTATTTAGAACATTTCCAACACTGGAGAAAAGTCCATTGGGAAGGACTGGCAGAACCTCATTCTCTTTGTATTTCCTCTTATATTTTTCCAACTCTCACAGAACACAGACTGAATAATTTGTTTAGATCAAACTTCTGGCGCACCATTTCTTAAGTCTGTGTAACACTGATTTTTTTAAATTGCCAATCTATATATACATATACATCTCAAAACATCTCAAAATATAATGACTGAAACATATATGTATGTTTCAGTCATTATATTTTGAGATATGTGCATATATACATATCAAATATACCTGGCAGTGATATTAATCCAGGATTTCTTTAAATTACTGTGTGCATGTGTGTGTGCATGTGTATGTGTCTGTGAAAATTCACGAGGACTGGCTTATGTCTCCAAGTTCTCATGGGAAAGTCTCCTTTTTCTCTGTCTAGCCCCTAGGGCTGTGCTGGATATGTTCTCTAGCTGTCAGCTTCTCTGTATGGTAGAATTTATTTCTCTTTCATCTAAGAGGGACTGTAGTTCCCTGGGGTCCCAGCTTAATGTATGAGCAGAGGGATGGGTGAGAGATGATGTTTTTTCCATGGTGTTAGGTTCATCAGCTTGGGAGAGCACTAGGTGGAGTATCCTGTTCCACATCCCTGCAAAGCCATCAAAACTAGGGCTCAACAACTCATGCCTTCAAGTCCTGGGGAAACACCCAACTTTGGTATACCCAATGTCTCCATTTTTGTTTTGTTTAAAAATTCTGTAATTTCTAGGAAAACATCAGACAAACAGGACATTCTACAAAGTACCTGACCAATATTCTTCAAAATTGTAGAGGTCAAAAAAGAAAAGGAAAACTGAAGAACTGTCACAGAGGGGACTAACGTGTTACGACAACTCAGTGCACCATGGAACCCTGCCTAGATTCTGGAAAAGGACATTAGTGGAGAAATTAGGGAACTCTACATAAAGTCCAAGTTTAGCTAATAGTGATATACCAATGTTACTATGGCAGTTAGATATCTTATTGTAAGAGGCCATCTTAATGTAAGATGAAAACTGTGGGAAACTGAAACTGGAATTCTGTCCTGCCTCTGCAACTTTTCTGGAAATCTAAATATATTCCAAAATAAAAATTTTATTGAAAAATAAAACTGATGACTTCTTATTTTTGTTACAGTTCAATAGTGCATTAAAAATGACCTTCTTTCCTTCCTTTGTTTTATAAATCAATATTTTCATTGTTATTGCATCCAGCATACCTACCATATAACCAGAAATAAAGCCCCTTATTCAGGAGAGAATAAGTAGGAATCATAACCAAACAAAGCTGTTTTAATAAATGAAATGTTGTGGAATCAGAGTAAGATATGCCTGAGAAAACAGGACCAAAGTGGAAAAAATGTTTGAAAAACACAAAAGACAGCAGTTATACAAGAGTAGCATCAGTTTACATCCATCCCTCATCAAGGTAACAACAGCAACGAAACCTTCTATGTGAACATAAAAATAGTACAAGGCAAAACAATATCAATACTTTCTTTGCTTAGAGTGTCCCTCCACCCAAATTGTTATGTTGAAGTACTAAGTCCCAGTACCTCAGAATGTGGCCTTATTTGAAGATAGGTTTCTTACAGAAGTAATCAACTGAAAATGAAGTCCAGGGTGAATTCTAATCCAGGATGACTGGTTTCCTTAGAAGAAGGAAAAGTTTGGACACAGTCATACACATAGGGAGAACTTCTGTGAAGGCAGAGCTTGCCAGTAAACCACCAGAAGCCAGGAGAGCGGCCTGGAAAAGGTTCTCCTCCCAGCCCCTGGAAGAAGACAAGAGTGCTACCACCTTGATTGCAGACTTCCAACTTCCTGAACTGTGAGATAGTAAGTTTCTATTATTTAACCCACCTAATTTGAAGTACTTTGTTATGGCGGCCCCAGCACATTAACATAGAGCTACTCCCTAGAATTCTATATAATGTCTGAATAAGGAGAAAGAGCCCACTGGGTGTGCTATGTGGAGAGAGTTCAGATCTCAGGTATTTTTACTGTCTGGAGTAACCTGGAGAGGGCAGGAGGGATCCTGTGACCTCTGTTCATTTCGACCCCATCCAACATTCCCAGAATAGGGCAGTGTGCTCTGCTATTAATATTGCAGTTTCCCAGAGTGATCCTAGAACACAATCATTCTCCTTCAAAATGCTCTTTACTTGAAAAAGCAGTGTTCTTATTGACACTGCACTTTAAAAATATTCTAAAGCACAACTAAAAGCATCCTGGCTATTCAGATCCAGAAATTGGTTAACCAATAAGGATATGAAGACACTGTGGGAGGCTGCTGACTTTGGGAAGGTCATGCAGCAATTTGTGCCAGAGACTGGAATAGAAACCAACACCCAGTGTTGAGCTTGGTGAAAGGCCAGGGTGACCTACAGAAATTGACCTTGTCAGTCTCTGAGACATGGGCCAGTGGGTACCATCTTTAGACCTAGAAAGCTCCTATTGTAACTCAATATATCAAAAATATCATTTTAATATTTACTCAATGGTTAAAAGTTATTAATGGGATAGGTTACTTTTTCGATGAAGTCTTCCAATTTTGGTACTTTATATTTATAGCACATTTGATTCAAACTACCCACATTTCAAGAACTAAATGGTCACATGTGCCTGGTGGCTACCATACTGTATAGTATTGATTTCAAGTAGCTTAAAGAGTTTCAAGTGATTACTCATAATTTCAATCTTGGGAAGGTATAAGATTTTAGAGGACAGACATTTTCTTATACATTTTATATCTCTAATTAGGCTCATAAAAGAAAATTTCAGTAACTTCTCCACCCACCCACCCACCCATTAAGTTCTTATTGACCTCAATTCCCTGCCCTTACATACATGGTTGTTTGTTTGAAAAGACTATCTCATACCTTCTTTTCTTCTTTTTCCCTATTTGCCTCCAGGGGATCTATCCCCCCCACCCCCCTTCCAAAGGCAGTTCTTCAGTGAACCAGAGCTGAGACAAGATGACCTCTCCCAAACCCTGCAGAAGACTTCTCCATCCCACTGCTATCTTACCTACCACGTGCTCTGCCTCAGAACATTGCTGTCTCTCCTACAAATGGCCTGTTTTATAAAGAGAGAGTATTTCTTATCTCTACTATGTTAGTCAGCCTTGTGTTACTACAAAAAATACCTGAGACAATCAATTTTTATGAGGAAAGGTTTATTTTGGCTCATGGTTTCAGTACATGGTCAGTTGGCCCTGTACTTTTGAGCCTTTGGTGAGGCAGAATATCATTGTGGCAGTGTATGGTAAAGGAAGCTGCTCACCTCATGGCATCCAGGAAGCAAAGAGAATGGAGATGGGGGTAGGGTCTCAATATCCCCTTCAAGGGCACATCCCCATTCACCTGATATTTTTCCACTAGGCCTCATCCTCTAAAAATCCCACCACCTTCCAATAGCACCATATGCTGGAGACTAAGCCTTTCCTACCTGAGATTTTGGGAGGCACTGAACCAAGTCATAGTACCTATACACCCAATACCTAAGCACAGGGATACACATACCATCACAGTTCAGTTTTCCCATACAGAATGACCTGGGAAAGAAAATGAGAGAGAGCAGCCAGAGGAATCAAGATAAGATCCACTGCATCTTTTATAACCTATAACCTTGGAAGTAATGCATCATCATTTTTGCCGCATTTTACTGATCACACAGACCACTTCTGATCCCATGTAAGAGGGCTATGAACAACCTAAGAGTGTTAGGAGGTGGAGATCAATAGGAGTCCAATGGAGTAAGGAATGAAACACACAACTTCTAGACAACATAAATCATGAATTTAGTCTTCTATGGTACCTAAGCCATTGACATTGCCCTTCCCATTCTCTGCACACACATTCTCCTATCACACTGATACTGCAGCTCATATCGGTACCATCAAATCATTTCTTCCCAGCTTCACTCAGATGTCATTTGAGTCCAGGCCCAAAATCTGTAAGGTCATCAACGTCTACCAACAATGCAGAAGTGGGTATTGGTATGGGTAAATGCAACTCAGTTTGTGGTGAACGGATTCATCCCCACAAGCCTATAACATCTAATCTTTCTGTAACTGAAAGCATTTAAACACATAAAAGTTGTATAAAAATTTAAAAGAAACATTTGGTTCACAAATTTAAAAAATATTGAAATTTATCTGAACATAGTTGACAAGATATAGGTAATAATAGTATTCATACCATAAGCTTAATGTTATTCATTTTACATTTTAATGTTGCATGGATCTAAAAGCCATGCTAAGAAAACATTCTGTGAATCTCCAGCAAGATGAAAGTAAAGGGGTTTTGTCACCCTACTGGTAAATTAAGAGGGAGTAAATAGGCATGAAATGCACACGGAAACTCAGTAACAGTGAGACCATTACTGAGATTATTAAATACGCTAATGCTGGGGTCTCTTGCCTCTCCTTAGGTCTATCTTGCAGACTATTCTATTTTGCCTACTTCTGTAAGACTACACCCCATTCAGAAAAAAAAGTTTGACCATGGATTTTAACATTTATAGATGTATGTAGAACATATATCCAAAAAGAATTTAAGCCTGATATTAAACAATAAATAGATTTTTCTATATTTTTTTCTTCCCATACCATCTTGTGAAGCTTGATTTGGAGACTACTGCCTTAAATGATATTATCACCTATCTACTCAGATGCACTTACTGGTGGGACATGGTTGGCCAGTGAAGTTAGGAAAGGCAGAGTTGGAGAGTAAGATGCTCTTTGTATTTATTAGCACTTCAATCCATCCAGGAATTTAGGAACTCCATGAAGGAAAAAGTGGATTCAGCTTTAATCTTCCTTTGGTTCTGGATACAGAAGAATGTCTGATGAATGGGAGTGGTCTCAGAAAGGCTACATCAAGGTTCCCAATGCCCGGGCCACAGACCAGTACTGATCTATGGCCTCTTGGGAACTGGGCCTCACAGAAAAAGGCAAGAGGCCAGTGAGCAAGCAAAGCTTCATTGGTATTTACAGCCATTCCCCACTGCTTGCATTATCCCCTAAACTCTGTCTCCTTTTAGATCAAAGGTGGCATTAAATTCTCACAGTAGTGTGAATGCTACTGTGAACAACTACAGATGGAGGAATCTAGGTGTGTGCTTCTTATGAGAATCTAATGCCTGATTATCTGGGGTGGAGATTGGGTGGTGATGCTAGTACTGGGAAGCAGCTACAAATACCGATTAGCATTCACAGACAGGTTTGACTGCACAGAGATCATAGTAAGTCAATTGTTTGCAGACTCATATCAAAACCCAATCAATGAGCAGAAGGTGACAAGTAAGCTGCATTTGGTGGCAGGCTTTAAGTCAAAATCCAACACTTATATTAGTCCACATATGACCTGCCATTTATTTCATTTGTCACTTCCATCTGTACTTCTTTCCAGAACTATACATTTCTTTTAGTCACTTTTTGGTAAGCTTACATGCAAACCCTAGCCAAAATGAGTAAAAAACAAACATCACTGGAGAGCATCTTTGAAAAGAGGGAAAGACTCAATGATGAGATAGCAGAAGACTCTAAGATGCCAACAAAAAGAAAGCTGCACTTAAAAATTTACTAATAATTCTACTTAAGGTACCAGTTCATTGCAACAAGTGATTCATATTCTCCAATCCCTCTCTTTTTAATACATGGCACTATCTATGCAATGAAGCCATGGAAATATCAAAACTGTTCCATCACATGGAGAGCAAGCACCCTGCATTAAAAAACAAGCCTTTGGAACATGAACATTTGAAGCCCACCACTTCATCAAAAGTGTCTGCATTGAGAGCATCATTCTTAGTGGCTAACTCTACATTGCTAAAGCTAAGAAGTCCTTTCCCATTGGTTAAGAGTTGACTCTGCCTGCTGCTAAGTATATTTGTCATGCACTTTGAGGAGATGCTGCAGTTCAAAAGGTGGCACATGTTCCCATTTTGGCTAGCACCATAACTAGATGAACTGATGAAATAGCAGA